GAAGCTCCTTCACGGGTGCAAGAATGAGACCCGAGGAGCGTTCTATATCTTCAATGCAGAGGGTTGCCAGGAACGTAGGTTCATGTCTTTTGACCCCCTTCTTCAGCTGCAAGGCCAAGATATTGTCAGCGGCCATCTTCATGGGCATGCACGGGATCATGCTGGGCTTGGCCCCATTTGCTCCCATCTAGCATGTCTGCATAAGGTACGGGCATGGTGTCGGTTTGCCTTAGGAATTCCAACCCAACTATCAACTCGAAGTCATCTATGATCACCACTCGCAGGTTGAATTTTCCTTCGTAAGGGCCAAGCTTCACTGGTACCTCTTTGTCTATTCCACCCACTGGCTGAGGAGGTGAGTTGATAGCCTTGACACGACCTCTACCCTTCCCTACAACTAGACCAAGGCGCTCCACTTGAGTTGAGGCTAAGTAGTTGTGGGTAGCTCCCGTGTCTATCATCGCCCAAATGGGCTTTCCATTTACCTTCATCTCGACGAACATTAAGGTCCTCTCTTGTTTAAGAGGATTCCTCTCATCCGCCTTCTTTTTCCCTTTCTTGGTGATTGGACAGGGGTCCTTCTTACGAATACCAGTACCGGTTTCCGCTAAGGCCTCAGAAATAGAGCCAACAATTGTATTGAAGGCACCTACTGGTTCGGTCTGGTCCGCATCATCTGTGTCGTCATCTGTCCCATCATCAAAAGCTTGATGGGCATTTATCTGTGCATGTGGGCATTCATTATTCCAATGTGGTCCGCCGCAATGACGGCATCCTGATAGGGGCTTTCTCCCCCTTTCATTGTTGTTTGACGCAGCACTATTGCTGCATGAGGAGGGAGCCTTAGATTTGGTTGCACTCCGATCTCCTCCACTTCTGCTAGGGCCACCACTGCTAGGCTGGCCCTCTTTGTATCCCGTTCGGGAAAGCGGTTGAGGCCTATCCTTCCGAGCTTTCACTTGATAGTCCCCAAGGCATTCAACTGCTTGGATCGCCTTGGGTAGGGTGTCTACCATTTGTCTTTGCAGCTTCATACGGGCATAAGGTTTCAACCCTTCCAAGAAGGTGAAGAGTTTGTCTTTGTACCCCATGTCACGTATGTTCAGCATGAGCGCGGAGAATTCCCGCACGTAGTCCCGCACTGATTTGGTCTGGTGGAGCTCCCGTAGCTTCCTCCTTGCGTTGTATTCAACATTTTCGAGGAAGAACTGTAGGCGTATGGGTGCCTTCAGTTCAGCCCATGTCTCGAGAGCATCTTCACCGGCCCTGATGGCTTCGTACTTCACCCGCCACCAGAGTTTAGCATCACCCTGAAGATACATGGCAGCAGTTGCTACCTTCTTAGCTTCTTGTAGGCCCCCCACGGCATCGAAGTACTGTTCGATATCAAAGATGAAGTTTCCACTTCTTTGGCATTCCGAGCTCCACTGTATGCCTTTGGCTCAGGAATTTTTAGTTTTTGTGTTGCGGGAGCGAGGTTCACAACACCCCCGATTTGATTTCCGCCTCCTCGAAGCAGGCCTTGTAAAGCAGCATTGACAACATTAAGCTGGCATGTCAAGTTGTCTATAGTTTCTTGCATGGCAGTCATCCTGTTTGCCTCTTGTGCCTTGTAGGCTAAATCCTCAGCACGCTCCTGTTGGAGGCCCTCGAATTTGCCAAAAATTTTGGCTGCCTCTGTGGCTGCCGTTTGCCGGTTTCCCTCAGAGTCGCAACTGATGTTTTCTATGTCAACTTCGGCCTGGAGCACTCTGCGGTCCAGGTCGTCCAACCTTTGCACTAGGCTGGTTCTTAGTTCAGGCACCATATCCACGATGGGCCGTAATGGTCAGAAATGGTGGTAATGGCAATGTGTTTCCTCGTCCAATGTCGAGTCTAGGCTCTGATACCAACTGTTACGCGGCGCCTTCCTGAGATTCCTTGGAAGGGCGACGCAAGGCTAAGCAACTGATGTCAGTGCGATTACTATCCGCCAATTGAGGTCTCCTCCGTACTCTAGACGAGATTGTTAGTGCCGTACGGAAAAATCAATGTCAAGAGCAATTGAGAGAACAGAAATGAGAAATGAGAATGAAAGAAAGCTTGATTGCATTAATGAAAGCTATTATAGAAAAGCAACGCAGTGTCGAGGGGGAGAGACACCAGTACAGAGAATTGTTTGCTTGCTAGAAAGTTTGATTGCTTGATCTCCCCTAATAGTGCTTAAAAAAAAAAAACCAAAGTTACAAGACTAGACCTAACCAAGTTAGAGGAACATAATGGAAGTACATGAAATAAAACTACTCTATATTTACAATGAAAAGGACTTAGTTTTCTCCAAGGTAGAAACAAGTCCGTTGTCAGCAACCTTGTCTTTGGCATCATGGTCTGCGCGCGCGGCGCTGTTGGCATCTGCCTGCGGCTGGGCGCTGGCGAGGGATATCAGTAGGTCGACAGACGCACATGCGCGCTTGTCACTTGGCGCGGCCAAGACCACGGGGCCGTTCGAGGCGCTAGGCGTTGGGAGGCTTGCTAGGACGCCATGGGGCACGTCCAAGGGGTCATGAGACATGACTGGAAAGCCGCCCATGACAATACACATTCTCATATCAATTTATCGCGTAACTACAATAAGTTAAACTAATTTGATATAAACACCACTTACAAATAAGTTTTTGCCACATTAACGTGAAGCATACCATATTCTCTCTCTAATATTATTAGCTTTATTTCTTTAAAAACTCAAATAATGAGATCAAAGTTTACTACTGTAATTACGTAAACTGAGAAATTTTACTACAATTTCTTGTGTCAAATCGGCTTTTTGCCTACAATAATGAAAATCTGTTTACCTCAATTATAGGAAATAGATATTCTGCCTAATCTTGTCAATTCAGAACTTTTAGTCTTTGGCTATCGATTTGCCACTTTGCTACCCAATTGTACCTACGAGCCGGAGGGGTAGTTTGGTAGGAAGTATTAGAAAAAATAATACAAGTATTAGCTCTGTGTATTACTAATGCCTTGTTTGGTATATTTTTTCAATCTGTGTATAACTAATGCTGGTATTAGTTATACATCATATTTGGTATGATCCTATGTATAAGTAATACATAGAAAACCATGACATTAGTAATACCAAGGTTATTAATGCATGTATTAGTACGGTTAAAGATAAAATTTCCTTAAAGTCCCTTAAAGCTAGAGAATATGGAGGACAATTTTGTAAACAACTATTTTTCTTAAAAATTATGCAATGCATTATAATTTTTAGTACACCACACCAAACAATAGATAAGAAATAATATCTGCATAACTAATACTTGTATTACTAATCCCTGTATTGTTAATACACCTTATTCCGCATTATTCTTAGACACCCTACCAAACGACCCTAAGACACATTGAATAGGGTTTGGTTGATTTCATCGTCAATACTATTTGGTACTATTATTTGTCTTGATAACATGACTAGTCCTTGATTTCATTTAGTATTGAATTTGACGTGACTTTCTTCAACTGGTCATTCTTCTAGTTGAGGTGTTAGTAATTTTTTTTTCTTTGATAGATTACACTATTGAAATACTCTTTAAAACCATGCCGACAAAGCCAAGGAAAAAGAGAAGCTCAGTATAATATTTTTGTTTTCAAAATATAAAGTTAAACATACAGAAAAGTTAAAGAGAATTTAATATATAATATATATTCATAGAATTTTCTTTTCTTATGTACGTATTATTATGTCGAGTCCGGAACCAAAATGTGGTTCTTTTGGACTCAAACTACACAAATAGCTGTAAAAAAAAAGTTACCATACTATATATAACGCCAGAAAACCTGGTGCTATACATTAACGGTAACTTTACCGTTAATGTATAGCGCCAGGTTTTCTGGCGTTATATATAGTATGGTAACTTTTTTTTTTACACCTATTTGTGTAGTTTGAGTCCAAAAGAACCACATTTTAATTCCGGACTCTTATTATGTCTATGGCTAGGATGTGCCACTTTTCTATCCTACTGTCCCTATTAGCTTAATTAGGCACATGAGAATGGCAGCTTCAATTTTTTGACATTTGTTCTGACCTTTGCATAAACTATTCCTTGATTTCACCGTCACTTGAATTTGAGGTGGCATTGGAACTACAAAAAAAAAAAGAAAAAATCATTTTTTAATTCATTTATTTTTAGACCTTTTTGTTTTCTACTAGCAAACATTTATTTTTGCGTATTACTAACTTTATGGTCAAATGGTTTTTGTTTATTTCCACAAAAAATTTCAAGAAATAAAATAAGAAGTCAAACTATGCTATTGACACTTGTCATTCATAGGACCAATTAATGCATGGAAAACAAGTACTCCACTTGAACTCGATTTATATACTAAATTATGTTAGGTAAAGATGTATATCAATTAACTATTATTAAACAATAAATAATCAAATCCATATGCTATACACTTATTAATTTGATTCATACATTGAGTACTGAATAAATATTTTTCACAGCATGCATCATCCGAATGACTCAACAACTGCAATAACCAAACCTACCAATAAAACCAAATTATGCAATTTCTTCTCCAAACATTAATAAAAAAAACAAAAACAACAACAACAATTCAGGCCATGTTTGTTCAAAAATTTCAGAAAATTTCTCTTTCTCCACTCACAAAACCGCAACATTTTTTCAAGTGAAATGCATGTCTAAATATAATTTCAAATTTCAAATACCATTTTTCAACTTAACTCCAAATACTATTTTTTTTTAAAAATTATAATTTTTATGTCCAAACGGCTACTCAATGTAATTCCACAAATGGAGTTTGGGGAGGATAGTGTGTACGCAAGTAAACCCTCGACTCAAGAAAAGCAAAATCCCAGTAAAAGGAAATATAGTAGTGAAGAAGCCTTAGAAAGAGACGCAGTATCTCTTATAAGATAATAGAAAAACCGAAGCAAAAGAAATAGTAGTTAGTAATTGAAAGAAATATGACACTACTAGAAAAGTTGAATGATGAATCTATTTTACAAACTCACCCTTCAAATACCATATATTATATATTTAGCTCATAAGCCTTCCCACCTGAAATCTCATAATTTGTTCATATACAACAACAACACCATAATGTCAGAGCTAAAGAAAAGCTTGTTTTTTTCACCAACTTTCAAGACTCCATCTTTTAGAACTCAAAAAACCATGGCATTAACTTTTAGTATCACATTCATGTTTGTTACTTGTGCTGTTTTCTTTGTGTTCAATAATCCTTCACTTAACCATTCCTCTATTTGGTTCAAGAAAATATTGGAAAAAAGGTCACATTTTTCCACTTTTTTCTCTCAATATAATTTTTCTTCTGTTTCTCAAAATGGGGTTTCAATATCACTTGATAAAACCATTAACTCTGAAAATGGTCAAAAGGGTTTAAATAATGAGAATTTACAAAATATGACAAATGATAAAAATACAAGAAATGAAAAGAATGAACCTTGGTGGGAAAAAATGAGTCATTGTGATATTTTTGATGGGAAATGGGTGAAAGATGAATTTGGCCCTTTATATGAAGCTGGTTCATGTCCTCATATTGATGAACCATTTGATTGTTACAAAAATGGAAGACCAGATAATGGATATGAGAAGTTCAGGTGGCAGCCTACTCACTGTAATATTCCAAGGTAATTACCAAAACTTTGATGAAAAAAAATATGTTTTGGCTTCTTGATTCTTATGTAGGGTATCTTGCTGTTGGTATTGCTTGTTGTTACTGTTTTTTTTTTCTTTTCTTGAGCCGGGGCTCGAGGGTCTATCGGAAACAGCCTCTCTACCCTCAAGTTAGGGATAAGGTCTGCGTACACACTACCCTCCCCACACCCCCACTCGTGGGATTATACTAGGTTTGTTGTTGTTGTTGGCGTAAGTGGTAAAGTTGTTGCCATGTAACCAGGAGGTAACAAGTTCAAACTGTGAAAACAGCCTCTTGTAGAAACGAGGGATAAGACTTCGATAGACCATTGTGGTTCAGCCCTTCCCGGACCCCGTGCATAGCGAGAGCTTAGTGCACTCGGCTGCCATTTTCTTGATTTTTATGATTGAGTTCGGTTTAGTGGATGTTCCTTATTTGATATGGTGTTTTGATTCTTTTTGAAGGTTGAATGCTAAAAAAATGTTGGAGCTGCTGAGAGGAAAGAGATTAGTTTATGTTGGTGATTCTTTGAACAGGAATATGTGGGAATCAATGGTATGTTTGCTTAGAAACTCTCTTGAAGATAAGAACAGAGTTTTTGAGGCATCTGGTAGACATGATTTCAAGAAAGAAGGTGCTTACTCTTTTATATTCTTGGTAAGGTTTTCTCTTTTTGACTGTTGATTTCATCAACATTATCATCATATTTGGCAAAATTTTTGACAATTTCAGTAAAAGGATATAGTGAAAGGGGTGAGAGGAAGCCTAAATTTCAGTAAGAATGTTGTCCAAGACTTGTAGATAATGAATCTAATTTGCTGAGAGCATAATTTTATGGTATGAATGTAGAGGGAGCTAGCAGCTTTCATGAACTGATTAGGTGTCTTGTATGTCAAATGTTTGTGATGATTCATTATATGGTGCAACATCACTAGTGAGGATTCATATAACCGACCCCATTTGTCCATGTAAATGATCAAGACCTAGCAAACAACAATGCTCCTTCCCCATATGAAGTTCGGAACCCAAAGGCAATCGTTGAGTGAACTGTATCTTTTTTGTGTTTGTTGACCTATGCCGCACCCTTACTGCTGGGGTGGGGCTCGGCGTCCGAATTGTACATGGGACGAGTTTTTGCCTCATACAACTCTGATCGAAGACCGGGGGAAGTATAGAAGACATGTGGAAACCTAGCAGCTGCCGGTCGGGGCGGGGATAAGCTTGCTTCTTCACAAGCCTATCCCCCAAAAACCGACCCTGTAGCGCTAGCGCTTCATGTTCTTTCTATTCCTTCCCATTTCATTCCGAAATAGGCAGCTAATACTAAAATAATAAGTGAAGTAGTCGTCGTCTGACCAATCGGCTCAGAATTGAGGTGTAGTAGTAGTAGTTGTTGTTATTAAGCTTTTGCAAATGAGAATGAAATGTGCTGGTTCTTTGAAGGATAAATAAGATTTCTATATTATATCCCACTTGCTGCAAACAAAGCTTATGGTATGATTAGGAATGGAGCTAGATTTCATGAATATATTAGATGTCTTTTGATTCATTAAATGCAGTGACATGATCAGTAAGGATTCACACAGCCGTCTCCAACTTGCTTGATATTAAGGCGTAATAGTTTCTGTAGAACAATATTGATTAGACTTCTATATTACCTTACTAACCAACCAATTTAGTTTCATTAAGTCCTTGAAACAATCTGCTAATCTGTTGCTGATTAATATTTGAGCAGGACTACAATTGTTCAGTGGAGTTCGTTCGTTCTCCTTTTCTGGTTCAAGAGTGGGAAGTACCAGATGAGAATGGATCAAAGAAAGAAACGCTTCGGCTGGATCTTGTTGAGAGGTCATGCGACAAATACAAAGGCGCTGACATTCTTGTATTTAACACCGGGCATTGGTGGACTCATGAGAAAACATCTGCAGGGTACCTTTCTGTTTCTTCATTTCTATTTGGATTTATGCATCTCTGTTTGCTAAATCTATGAATAGGAATAGGATATCTATTTTCACACACACACACATATATATATATATATATATATATATATATATATATATTTCCTCGCATAAATTTTTGATGTGGTCGGTTCTTTCTTTTGAAAAGGCTACCAAATCATCCACACAAGGCTCACATATTATATGTATGTCACTGAAAATTTCTGTCGTCACTCTTTGATTTAGTCATGTGTTGATAAACTTTGTAGGAAAGGTTACTATCAAGAAGGTAGCCATGTTTATGATGAACTAAATGTAGTCGAGGCGTTTCGCAAGGCAATGACAACATGGTCGAGATGGATTGAGGCCAATGTAGATCCAATGAGAACTCAAGTTTTCTTCAGAGGTTATTCAGTCTCTCATTTTAGGTAATTGTATTCTATGTTGCTCGGACTCTTAAAAAATACTGACGGGTGCATGTCGGATCCTCCAAAAGTAGTGTATTTTTGGTGGATCAGACACAGGTGCGACAACATCTTTGGAGAGTCAATGCAACATAGACTGTATTCTCCCGTAAACTCTACATAATGAGAGCTAAAACTTGAAAATGACAAGTAATCTTGGCTATTTTTCGATGAATTTGCAGTGGAGGGGAGTGGTATTCTGGTGGAAAATGTGACAGTGATATCGAACCACTGAAGGATGAGAAAGAATTGTCGCCTTCTCTGTATCCGCCAATAATGGGAATGTTAGAGAATGTGATCAGGTGGATGAAGACGCCGGTCTACTACTTGAATATTACTAGAATGACAGATTTTCGCAAGGATGGACATCCATCGGTATACAAGAAGCCAAACATGACAGACGAGGAGAGGAGGTCGACATTAAGGTACCAAGATTGCAGCCACTGGTGCCTTCCTGGTGTACCAGATACTTGGAATGAGCTCCTATACGCGCAACTTCTAATGAAACGTTATCAGAAACAACAACGACAACAGCAGCAGCAGCAGCAGATTGGTTCCTAGGTAAAAATTGCTGTCAATGTGCCAAGTTTGCAGCCATTGGTGCCTTTACTGGTGATGAAGCATCAATAGACATATCATGAGCAACAACATCGCGTGGGTTTGCCACGCAAACATAGCATCACTAGTGTAAAGGACAACTCGGTGCATAAAGCTCCTGCAAGGGGTCCAGGGAAAGGCTAGATGACATTGAGTCTATTATACGCCGCCTTGCATTTCTGCGGGAGGCTGTTTTCACGTCTTGGACTCGTGACCTTCTAGTTATATGGAGGCAACTCTTACCGTTATGCCATAGCGTCAGTAGTGTGTAAATATGATATTGTAAGACAAAAGGCGTCTCATTTTTGTAGTTTTTGGTTATGGAAAGTGAGGGAAATACAAGATATTGTGTCTTCTTTCCCTCTTTGTCTCTAGTTAAATATAAATACAGAGCTTTTATGGAAATAATTAAGCAGCTGGACTTTCTTAAATAGTTCTTAGCACGTGTTTCTTTTGATTATGATGTGATTTCATGATGTATACATTATATTACCAATTCATTATTAAGTCACAGAAGTAATAAATTTGGAGTAAACGTAAGTCCCTTAATAATACCTGTTTGACATAGTGGTAAAATCAACATGTATTTATCTTTTCTTAATCATATTGTTTTTTCAAGCTAAGTTTGACTATGTTCACTTAAAGTCATCCTACATAATTGAGATGGTAAAATCAAAGCGAATTTATCATGTCTTGATCATATAACGAAGAGAAGTGACTTTTGTGTGTATGCAGACTTTACTCTGTTTAAACAAAAAATGTCTGCTCATTTCACAAGTCTTGGTCCATGCATTCACAAATTAGCCAATTAAATTCTTATGGATTGATCTAATATATCTGTTTAACCAAAAAAATGGGATTTTAGTCAATTTAGAAGAACTTGGGTTACTGATAATCAAGAAAATGAATAAAAAGAAGTAATTCTGGATAGCAAGATGATAATCAAGAGAAAACAAATAAATCAATGTCTATTCCAATAGTCTTTCGTGTCCCTACAATTGATCATACATCTCCCTTTTATAGATACCTTTGGAAACATACGTTTTCCTTATAATGAGGCTATTATGAGTAATTAAAGACATTGAATGTTACGTTACACAATCATTACAATTAAAACATATTCTCTAACGTATTCAGCATTTAATACCCATAAAATGCCGTATCCGTACTCTTATCCATTGTCAGATTCGTTCCTTCTGATTCTCGAATATAAATGACTTAAATAGGTACGGGCGCCGAGTTATTTGTCTGATTGCCCGTGCCTCTTCCTCTTTCTTTGCTCGCTCCTGTTGCACCTCATGACTCTTGGCTAATTGCAATTCTTTGACCATTTGACCAATCCACGTGTCTTGACACGTCACCTTTATATATAAATATAATTTTTCCCAATACAGATAGTCCCCCCACTTTCCATTTATTCACCAGTTGAATATTTGGGAAGTGGATTTCATTAAAAGAGAATTTTTGTCACCATTAATGCTCTGACAAAATTGACGCTTCAATTGTCACTTTCATTTAATGTGTTTTTACACGTGTCATCCTCTTATTAGCTCTACAGTTTTACAACACTTTCTTAGGCTTTCTTTTCGGCTTCCCTGTTCACGAAGTGTCAATTATCATTATTATGGTCCTTCCATCATTGTACTTTTTCCTTTTACCGGCTGTCCATCAGTATAAATATAACTTCTTTTCTTGTCTTTTACCACATAAAGCGTATTGAACACTTCAATTCTTCAAATCTCTATTCAGTTCTTCTTTACTTCAATCTTCTTCACCATGACTTCATCAAAACCTAACCCTAGGAGAGCTCCTATTTTAGATAACTTCCCCAATGCCCCCATCAGGCATGGAAGAGGTGGTAGACTTCGTAGCTTAGGGTCTGCTCGCGGTGGTAGCACATCCGCGCCTTCTCCTAGAATTGGTCCCTTTTCTAGAACTAGAGGTTCCCATTCTCAAAGGTCTTCTTCTAGGAACAAAGAACCCTCTAAGCCTTTATGTGAGCCTTTAGTTGAAGAGATAGTCCCAACAGAACTATCTTTTCATCATGATAGAGAATCTCTTAGGAACCAAGTTGCCACTTTAGATCGTGCCGATGCTTTCCCTACTCAAATTACAGAAATTCTAGCTCCTATAGTTCGTAAGGATTGTCACTGGAGTGATGATTTTCCCATTATCATTCCTAATCCAAATCAGAGGATCACTTCTTACATGATTGGATTCTCTTTTGTTTATACATACCCCTTTACTCTAGGGTTCAAACCAGCCATTGACCCGGTCATTCTAGATTTTGCCGTTTTTTCAACATTTGTTTGGGTCAAATCGGTCCAATTGTATGGAGGGCTGTCGCCTGTTTGAGGCACCTTACCAACATGGCAGATGTTGGCTTTACTTTCCCTCACCTAATTCACCTCTACTCCCCTAGGCTTTTCCGCAATGGCGTTTTTACCCTAGCGGCCAGGAGCAAGAGGGTTTTAGTAAGCCCTGAAGATGACAAAGACCGTGGCTGGTATGCTCAGTTTGTTGCTGCCCGCACTGCTGGCTTAGTGGGTGAAGATAACGTTCTCTTCCCTGAGAAGTGGAATTTTGCACGTAAGTGTTACATCTTTCTCGTGCCTTTTTCTTTCAAGCTCATTAATTTCTCTAATGTCGCTTCTTTTCTTTTCTCAGCAACCATGGGTGTTGTAGAGAATGTGCCCAACTTCCGTGGTTGGGTAGAGAAATTGTTGAAGACCGCTCCAATGGATGGTAGGTCCTGGAAAAACCTTTCCAACCGTTACGGTTGGAAAGTAAAGACTCATGGTAAGAGTTTCTATTTTATCTTTCACGTATATAAATATTTTCCTTTATTGTTCTAACTTTCATCCTTCTTTTTATCAGGATTTGCTATTCGGGGAGTTACTGCTGAGGCAGTTGTGGCCTCTCGTGACTCTTTGGGTACCCGTACCTCTTTAGCCCGAGAAATAGTCTTGGGTTCTTCTTCTGCAAAAAGAAAAGCTTCTGAGGAAGAAGACTCAGAAGAAGAGGATGAAGGAGGCTCCCTGGTGACAAGACCACGAGCTAGAAGACGTATCGTCTCAGATGACGAAGCTGAAGTCTCACCTCGTCTACCTCTTCCCGAGCCTGTTGATACCCCAGTTGTTATTCCTGATGATGACGTCACTCTTCACGATACTCGTGAGTCTATTGATCAACTTTTTGTCAGTGGTTTTGATAGTGGAAACTTAGGGCCTGTTTTAGATGAACTTCCCTTATCTTCCTTTTCTACTCCCGCGCCTGTGATTCTTTCCTTACCTGCCTCAACTGTTTCTGTTCCTCCCTCTACTGTTTTTACTCCTTCCACCGCTCCTCCTTTGACAATTCCCCCACCTATCGTTCACCATATGGAGGTGAGTTCTTCAAGTAGAAGTACTGCTATGAGGAGCGTAACTATTGAAGTTCCTGCTGATAGCAGCCTCTTAAGGAAGTCAGGTCAAGCTGACGTTTGGCTCGAGCCTTTAATTGGCCAATCGAGAAAGCGAAACTGGAGAGCCATAGCAGCCTGACTTTAATGAATGACATAGTGCATGCTACTTTAAAGGTATTTTCCTTCTTTCTCTTCTTTACTTTGTAAAAGTTTCTATCTTCGAGATTCTTATTTCCCTTCCTTTTTTCTTAGGCCAATCTTATCGGCACTGAGCTGATGAACAGAATCTCCCTCTTGGAGAAGGTAGCACGTGATTCAGAGAAGGTTGCACGTGATTCTCAGTTGGAAGCAATCAATTGGAAGGAACAATTTGACAGTGCTCAAATAGACATGGAGGATTTACAAGAGAGCAAGAGTACCTTAGAGCAGCAGGTGCGAGCATTAACTTCGGAGCTAGCGGTTACCAAGGCTTCCTTGAACCAAGCAGAAAAATAAAAAGAACGCCTTGAATCCTCCTTTTCAGAACAGTTGTCTAAGGCTAGCGAAGAGAACAGGGCGTTGAAGGCTCTGCTGAATCAAAAAGAAGTTTATGCTGGAGAGCTCGTGCAAAACTTAACTCAAGCACAAGAAGAGCTTCGAGTCTCTGTTGATAAGGTACGTGCTTTAGAGAGCTCTCATATTTCTCTTCAAGCTTCTTGTAACTCCGCCTTGGCCGAAAATGAAGAGCTCAAGAATGAGGTGGCTGCTTGGGAAAAGGATTATGAGATCCTTGAAGAAAAATTTGATGTTGAGGTAAGTTGGGCTTTTTTGAATTCACGTCGTGATACCCTAATTGAAGCTGGTCAAGAAAACTTCGACCTGGAGTCAGAATTAGCTAAGGTTAATGAAACCATTGAACAAGCTCAGCAAACACAGGACTTTCCTTCTCCCGTGATTGAAGCTCCCGTGGTTGAAGCTCATATGGGTATTGCATCTTCTTCGAGCCCAATCGAACCTACCGCTGCAAGCCAAGTTGAAACCGCATCTGCTGATGCTCTTGCTCAAGTTGAGTTGGTTGCTGTGAATCAAGATCAACCCGCAACCGTTGATGCTCCTGTCCAAGTTGAGCCCGTTGCCATTGATGCATCTTCTTCAGTTCCCACATCCTCTTAGTGAAAATTTACGTTGTCTTGAATTCCTTCTTTTTTGCAGGCACCACTTTGGAAAGTTGTGTTAGAAACCCTTGGCTTCATTTGAGAGTTGGTTTTGGAACGTAAGTCCCCAAGTCTTTTATGGGGCAATTTGTATAAACTATTTCGTAGTTTTATGACTAAGTTCGTACTTAGTCTTAAGTATTTAAGAAGTTTTTTTTATGTTATTATCTTAATCTTCTGTTTATTCTATTCTTGCCTTTATTCTTAAGGACTTATAGAATAGTTTGCATTTTTGTTTTTCGAAAATGCTTCTGTCAATCTCATGACTAAATAATTTAAACATGAGTTTTATAAAAGAGGGCCCTTTTATATTTCGACACTTAATGAAGAAGACGTCTCAACTTCATAATGGTGTTGCCATACAATAAAAGAAATAGGAACACACATGTTTCTTTTGAAATAACATTGACAAGTTTTTTTTATTTGAACTTTGTCCAGTTTTGAATAATGCTTTACATGTATTTGAATTACATCTATAACTTTCTCGTAACTGTTTTTCTTGTAATAGATTTTTAAGAAAAAATAATAAATACGAGGTTTTTCTTTATAACCCGTTTCAGAACAATAAACGCAAGGTTTTTCTTTATAACCTGCTTTAGTACATAGCTTTTACCCTAACTACAGTAAGGTTTTCTTTAGCCTTGGCTCGTGACTTCGTGACTTTTACTCTGCACTTGACTTTTTCAGGCTTGATTTCTCTTCAATCTTCTTTGCCTTCTTTATACATACTCGTGTATATTATGTAGTCCCCCAAGTGTTTGAGTGTTGAAGTATGAAGCCTCGAGCACTTGATTGTTTCTCTCTTTTAGTCCTTTTCCTGAAAAGGAAAAACATA